ACACTTTAAAGAGGTCTTTTGCAGCAGGTTTGCCAAGCCAATACATCATCTGATTTCTTGACTCCTGCTTCCATGGGTGTCAATTGTGGATTCAAGGAAAATGAAATCCCTGATAACTTCAATCTTTTATCCATTTATCATGCTGCTGCTTTTTGGTCCAGTTGTAAGGATATTTGTTTTCTTTACTTCAAAGTGTAATCCATACTGAGGCTGTAATCTTTGACCTTCAATAGTAAGTGCTTCAAGTCATCTTCACCTTTGGCAAGCAAGGTTGTGTCACTGCATATTGCAGGTTGTTAATAAGTCTTCCTCCAATCCTTACTCCTTGTTCTTCTTCATACAGTCCAACTTCTCAGATTATTTGCTCAGCATACAGATTGAATAAGTGTGTTGAAAAGATACAACCCTGATGCACACCTTCCTTGTTTTGAAACTATTCACTGTCTCCTTATTCTGCTTGAACAATTACCTCTTTGTCTATGTACAAATTCCTCATGAGCAAAATTAAGTGTTTGGAGTTCTCATTCTTCTTAATGTTACCCATAATTTGTTATGACCCACACAGTCAAGTGGCTTTGCATAATCAGTAAAACATAGGTAAATGTCTTTCTGGTAGTATTATGTACTTTCATCTGAATCCAGCTTGAATTTCTGGCAGTTCCCTGTCCATACACCTGTGCAACTTTTTTAAATTATCTCCAGCAAAATTTTACTTCCATGTGATATGAGCAATATTGTTTAATAATTCCCACATTCTGTCAGACCACCTTTCTTTGGAATCAGCATAAATATGGATCTCTTCCTGTTGGTTGGACAGATTGCTCTCTTCCAAAATTCTTATAGAAGGTACATACTATTATTATTGTCATTTCACAGTTACTGACTGACTCTCTGTTCTTGCTTCTTCCCATAGGAATTGGGAAACAGTGAAAAAGAATGAAGTAATTACCTGAGTATGCTCCCCAGAGAATTCAGATCCTTAACCATTCTCTGGAGCCTCTGATTATTTTTCAAATAGGGAGGCAGAATTCCAGCCCCAAGGATTAAAAAAAAAAAAAACTCATTGCCTTCTAGTCAATTCTGACTCATAGCATAGACTTCCCAGTCTTCCTTCTGCAGAGTGGCTGGGGGGTTTGAACAGTTAAATGCCTTAGGCACTATGCCTCCAGAGCTCCCAAAATAGAAGATGTTAATTCTAGGATGGGAGGAACTTCCTTAAGTCAGCTCTCCCAGTCCACTTTGATCTTCAGAAGTCAACTCTGCTTCTGGTGAGTGCTGAAGCCAATGATCTCCCAGTCCTGTTCCCTGAAGCAATCTCCCTCCCAAAGTCTGAAAGCCCTTATATTTCCCCCAGTCTGTAGTTATCTCCCTAACTTCCTGATTTGTGTGCTAGGACAAGAGATGATTTTTTTTTTCTAAAGTTGGTGACAGGTAAAGAACAAAAGAAAAACCTCAGAGTGTCATGAATTCTAGAAATAGTTTCGACATTATTTAGTCTTGGGTTAGTCATATTAGTGCATATATTTTGTTTAAATGCCTCATCTGCTAAATAAGAAGCCCTTGTCACCCTGTCTGCCTCAGAGACATGTCTGAAGATGCGTGAGACAAAGATGATGAAGGAGCACTATTAATAGAAAATTGTGGATAAATCTATGAAATGTTTTCACTTCTGACTGTGACTGATGTCTTCTGAGAACTTGTGAGAGAGTAGAAAGTAAGAAGAAGAATAGGGGAAACACTGACATCCACTGGCTGCTAAATGCTCGCAATAAATACCCCAAGCCACTCTGAGCTGAGGTGGGCATTGACACCTCTATCTTGAAAGAATCAAAAAAAAAAAAGTCCACAGAAATAAAGTAGATAAATGTATACTACACACAGGAGTCACTTCCAATTTTGTCCAGTTCCAGGATGTAGTATTCATTTCACTCGCCTTCTTCCTGCTGCCTTGTTCTGTTCTATGCAATGTTGTTGTTGTTAGATGCCATACAGTCTGCTCTCACCCATAGCAACCCTATGTGCAGCAGAACAAAACACTGTCTTGTTGTAAGCCATCCTCACAATCCTTGCTGTACTTAAGCCCATAGTTGAAGCCCCTGTATCAATCCATCTCATTGAGGGTTTTCTCCTTGTCACATTCTATATAATGGGTGATGTCTTTTGTTTCCTCCCATCCTGAAATTCTCGTACTGAGCAAACCCTAAACTCAAGGGAATGAGTGTCTTTCAGTTTCTCTATCAAGGAAACCTGTGGCCTATCTGACTGGGGAGATTCTGGAGGTTGTGGATGGGAAGGATGTAAAATAATAATAATAATAAAATTAATTTTAAAAAATAATAAAAAGGCAAAAGGAACAAGGGAAAAAATATGGGAGAGGTAGAGAATAACATTTATAACAGGAGAGGAGAGACCTAAATTTCAAGTATCTCTCAAGATTTGTTCCTTCTAATATCAGGTCACTTGAGGTATGGCAGACAAGATATCCATGCAATGGGATTACACAGGAGGAACTGTTGCTCAGTTCAGATGCAGACTAATATGTAGTCTGTTTAAGGAGCTAAAGAAGTATGTATGTTGGGCTTTTGGAGGTAAGCGGAGAACACAGAAAATGAGGAACAGGAATATCTCCAAGTTCCTCTCCCATGGGAAGTTCTGGCAATGGGATTATATCTTGAGGTCAATAACCCATCCCTGAATTTCCCTACCTTAAATCCAAGCACAGATCTTTGCACAGTTTTTTCTAAGCTAATATCTTCCTGATGTTGAGCTAAACTACATCAGATTCTGATAGGTGTCCAAACTCTAACCAACTCATTGCCAAGGTGATTCCAACCTATAGAGTCGGTTAGCAATCCTAGAGAACAGAGTAGAACAGCCCTATAGAGTTCCCAATGGTGTAAATCTTTACTGAAGCAGACTGCCACATCTTTCTCCCATGGAGTGGCTGTTGGGTTTGAATCATCAACCTTTTGGTTAGCAGCCCAGCGCTTTAACCACTGTACCACCAGTACCCTTTTAACAGGTGCCCAGGGATTTAGGCTGTTGTTGTTGTTAGGTGCTGTCGAGTCATCTTCGACTCATAGCAATCCTGCACACAGTAGAACAAAACACTGTCTAGTCCTGTTCAGGCAGGCAACCAATGTTTAAATTGTTTCTTCACAGATTTTCATGAAAGAAAAATATATGGAAAAGAAAACAATGATTTTAGATTTTAATCTCCTAGGACATCAACTGGGAGCTCTGGTAGCATAGTGGCTAAGGCACTTGACTGCTAACCAGAAGGCTAGCTGTTCAAACCCACCAGCCACTCCTCGGAAGGAAGATGGGGCAATCTACTTCCGTAGTGATACCGTCTCAGAAACCCAAGGAGGGGTCACTATGAGTCAGGTCCGACTCGACGGCACGTAATAACAACAACAGGACATTAACTATTTTTTTCTCTTTCTGCTTTCACAAATTGTAGTGTTCTAGTTCCATTGTCATGGTAAGGTTTTTACACACACTACTTCCAATCTCTCCATTGAGCCTGGCAGATTCTTACTAATTCCTCAGATCTCAGCTTAAATATCACTTCCTGAAGAAAACTTCCCCAGATTTTCAAGAATAAACTGTTTTTCCCTCTTTGTCATACTCATCTTATCTTACTTCTGTTTTGTAGCACTTCACATAATTGTAACTAACTTAGAGAAGAGATGCTTTCAGTATACAGGTTGATTTATTTGAATATTTCTGGCGGAAGGTGTGTTCTCTGTTGTCTACATTTGAAAGCTGCAGAGTTTTTATGAGTAAGGTCAGGACTCTGGGCTGGCAGAATCTTCCATAATGTTTGGCATAGAGTAGAGCTATTGTTTCTAGATCAACAGGGAGATGAAGAACTTAATAATAACTGCATGGATACTGAACTCCCTGTTGCTAAGGAATTCCAACAGTGGCTGAATGGACAGTTCACATCAGAGAGGATACAGAGACAAGATTTCAGCAAAGTGGGGGAAGTATGTGTGCATGTGCAAATAAATGAGTGTGTGTGTGCATATGTGTGTATATATTTAGGGTGGGAAGTGAATTGAAAACTAAACATCTTTCCAACCTTGCAAGTCCAGGATTCTATTGTTGTTATACCTGCCCTGACCGATACAGTGCTCATTTAAAACATGTCTATTCTTGGGAGATAGTTTTCCCCTTGTCTGTTATCCTCTCCTTCTCAGGAGAGCTTTCTTCAAAAATCTGTTTAGGTTTTTGGTTGCTGCAATGTATTCAAGAGTGTGTCTGAGTCAGAAAGAAGTTCCAGTGGGTGAAAGGAGTTGCCTTTCAAAACTTTGATTAAAGGGATTGTGAATATCATGATTAGATAATATTTTGGTCACCCTTAATGTTTGTATACAAATTGCAATGTATAAAAGGAGTTGCCTTTCAAAACTTTGATTGAAGAGATTGTGAATATCATGATTAGATAATATTTTGGTCACCCTTAATGTTTGTGTACAAATTGCAATGTAGGTTCCTACCCCCTATTGCTTCATTCAGACCTTTTCATATTAACATACCCAGTTGATTCCCAGTTTTCTCAAACCTCAGAACAGTGAAACCCAAGTTGCATTTTTTTTCTAGTTTAATTCAATTAATAATAAAATTTCTGTTCATATCCTCCTGGTATTAGCCCATGTTATAGGATGAAATTTCCTACACATGTCTGTATTCTTGACAACTTTTTAGAGCCAGGTATCTCCATACCAACACAAGTTAGCCATCTCTTCCATAACTGGCCTACCAGTCTAGAGCTTCCCTATAATGGAGACTACAATTCCTATTAAAATTTTCTCATAGTGATCATGTGTCAGTTTTCAGGCATGACTCATGCCACATGAGACTTTTGGTCACCTGAATTTGTAAGCTTAGTTTTCTTTTTATTTCTTCAGTGTTCAATTGCCTTTCTTCATAATACCTATCAGTTTGTTTCTAATTTTCAAGGTGGTACTAATCCCATGGAATATGATTTCGACATGAATAACTCCAGTAGCTCTATGAGGTTTTTACCTACTACATTCATTCTAGTTGGCATCCCAGGGTTGGAGGCAGAGAACATCTGGATCTCCATCCCCTTCTGCTTGATGTACATACTCATCTTCCTTGGAAATGGCATCATTCTTCATGTCATCAGGACAGACTTTGCCTTACATCAACCCATGTACCTTTTTCTTGCCCTATTAGCACTGGCTGAGGTTGGTGTCTCCGCATCCACCTTGCCTACAGTGCTGGGCATCTTCCTGTTTGGCACCACTGAAATTGGTTTTGACGCATGTCTTCTCCAGATGTTCTTCATCCATTCCTTCTCCATCATGGAGTCAGCTGTGCTGCTAGCCATGTCTGTGGACCGCTTTGTGGCCATCTACAGTCCACTGCGCTATACGGCCATTCTAACCTTGCCCCGCATCATTGGTACAGGAGCCATTATTGGGCTAAAAAGTATTATGCTCATGGCTCCATTGCCCTTGCTCTTACGGCGCCTGCCCTTCTGTGGCCATAATGTCCTTTCTCATTCCTACTGTCTCCACCCGAACCTCATCCATCTACCTTGTGGGGACATTTCTATCAACAATATATATGGACTTTTCATTGTTTCCTCCACTTTTGGGCTGGATTCACTGCTCATTGTAGTATCCTATGGGCTCATACTCCACATTGTACTGGGTATCGCCACTAGGGATGGGAGGAAGAAGGCACTCAACACATGTGGCTCACATGTCTGTGCTGTACTTGCTTATTATGTACCTATGATCGGATTGTCCATGGTGCACCGCTTTGGACACCATGTATCCCCTCTTCTGCAAGCCATGATGGCCAATGCCTACCTCTTCTTCTCACCTGCTGTCAACCCCATTGTCTATAGCATTAAGACTAAAGAAATCCATCGTGGTATTGTCCAAATGATTTCAGGGAAGAGAGCTAGAGTTTAACCAGTGTCCAAAGGTGGAAGAAATTTTTTTTCTCTTTTCTGTGATTAGAAGTGATCCTAGATTACTTGTTGTCTATCAGGAGAATCTTCAGACTTTGCAGTAAATTGGAGTGGGGATGCAGCTTGGAGTGGGTTATGTGTGGCAGAATTGGACACAGACTTGATACTATTTTAAAGTATATTGTGTGACATGAGGTTTCTAATACCTTGAATAGCTGGAACAGTTGTACAAGAAAAATTGTTTGTGAAAACACAGAATTCTCCAAATAAAAAGAATCTGAAGTGGGAAGATGTTCTGGGAAAACTTTTGAAACTACCTTGATCCTTTATCTCTTCCACAGGACAAAACTACTAGTTATTATATTCAGGTAGGTGTGGAAATAAATTAGAAAACTTGAGAAATATGTACAAAATATTATAAGGATTTCTACATTCGTCAGGAGAAGATTAGTTTCAGACCAATCTTCCTGCCAAAAACAATTAGAAAAGTTAGAGAAATATAGTTTTAAATAACTTCTGAGAGCATGATGTAAAGACCAAAACCTCTCTAAGAGAAGAGAAGCCTAGAGAAGCCAGCCTAGTATTTGGTGCCATTTTTATTTAAGGCCTTTGCTAATTCAAACATAAGAGCTATGAAATGGGAATAGTTTATAGCAGTCTCAGAGCAATGGAAAGGGAGGGATCAAAAACCAAATCACGAAAACCTCCGAGGAAGAGACTGCCTGGCATAAACTTAGGTATTTGGTGGGATTCCAGAAATGTTATAACTTGGAGTAAAGGAACCAGAAGTAGACCAGCCTCACACTCACAAAGTTTGTGTGTGTGTGTGTGTGTGTGTGTTTTAAATAACAACTCACTCCTAATTTCACCAGCTTTTTTGTAAGAATTGAAGTGACCATCCACCCAGTTTTCTCAGGACTTTCACAGTTTTAGCACAGAAAGTACCACAATCTAGGAAATCCTGCAGGCCCAGACAAACCAATCATTGGTCACTCTAATCATAAGTAAGAGTAAATACTCATAACAGAAAGAGATCAACCAATATTTCAAATTATCATCCTAATTTTTCATTGCAGTCTTTAAAAATATAACCTGGTTTATAAAATACAGGAATGAAATAAAAATCAAGAGAAAAAAGAATAAAGACAAAGAGTTACAGCCATAGAAGATCCATCTAATGGGATCACCATGTGCAGACATTAAAATAATTATTTAAGGAGAATTTAATAAAATAAAGGATAATATTTAAATAGATGTACATGAATATTGACAGTATGAAAAAATGTTTTGTGTTTTAAAATTACATGTACAAATAAACTACTCCCAAAAGGACAAAATATTGGAAGAGGTAGAGTTAAATAAGTCTTTACCCCCACATTATGCAAAACTCAAAGCAGACTCACTGTCATTGAGTCACTTCTCACTCCTAGCATTCCCCATTGGGTTTCCAAGGCTCTAAATCTTTATGGAAGCAGACTGTCTCATCTTTTTTCCATGGAGCAGCTGATGGGTTCAAACCACTGCTGCGTTTGGTTAGCAGCCAAATGCCTTAACCACTACACCACCAGAGCTTCTTTCCATTATCCAGGAAACAGTAAAAAGCTAACACAAATTAGATTTTTGACAAGTCTTAAATGCATATTTTAATTTCTATGATAACCACTGAAAAAAGGACAAAGTAAGTCTTAACCTAAAGCTTAGATGAAGGAAAACAGAAAAAAAGAAGGATAATAATCTAAAATGAAGCAAGAAATAGGGGCAAAAAAAAA